GAGAGCATATCTGGGGTCGTGGGCTATCTTTTGCAGCTCTCCGTTATCGGACCTTCTGGTACCGATGGCAAAGATCAGCACTCCGAGCTGTTTGAGAGCAGAAGCTGGTGCTTCCACACTGTCAGAAGACCTTGCGCCGCTGAGCAAGATTAGGACCTGTGGGACTCCTTCAAGGCGTCTGCTGCCGGCAGAGGCTGTGAAGACATTATCCCTCAAGTACTGGAGAGCTGCTCCGGTGTTGAGGGTTTTTCCACCTCTGTGCCTCAAGCCTCTGACAATGTCAAGGATCTCGCCCTTGGTTGTGTATGTGTTGAGATAGAATTGGACTGCTGCGTCTGTGCTATACTGAACCAGGGAGACACGATCTTTGTCGTCATCCAAACTCAGCGTCTCTACGACTCTTTGGACAAAGTCCCTCATTGCTGTGAATGAATTTCTTGTGGCATTGGAGCCATCCAACAAGAAAACCACATCCCTTCCCTTACTTTTTACTGTAATACAAAAAAATGAGACACTCTATTAAGATCTAAAGTTCTAATATCTACAATCATAAACCTGTTTATACACTTCAATGCAAGTCCGTTTTCATGTTATATGAAGAACTTGCTTACCAGTCATTGTTGTTGTCATGGATGTTGCCCTTAGCACTCTTCTCATTACAGAGGACAGCTGTTCTTGGACATTGTGTAGGCTTGCGAAATCATGTACTGCTAATGCATAGCTTTTGTCATTGGATATTTTCTGCAGCTCGTTCTTGTCAGAGCTCTGAGTTCCAATGCATATTGTATAGATGCCATCCTTTTTGAGAGCAAAAGCTGGCTCATCAACACCATCAAAAGACCGCCTGCTATTTAGCAAGATTAATATCTGTGGAACACCTTGCGCACGTCTACTCCCTGAGGCCTTTGTATAGATCTTGTCCCTGACATATCGTAGGGCAGCCCCTGTGTTGAGGGGTCTGCCTCCTCTGTGACTCAGGCCTCTGACTGCGTTGATAACATCCTCTCTTGTGGTGTAGGTATTCAGATAAAAATTGGCCTCTGCATCTCTGCTGTACTGGACCACAGAGACACGGTCTCCCTCTGCTCCCACTTTGAATGACTCTACTGCCCTCTCAACAAAGTCACGCATAGCAGGGAATCCATTCTTTGTGCCATCAGAACCATCCAGAAGGAATACAATATCCTTTTTGGTGTCAGTGTCAGCTAAGAAAATAATGGAAAGCATTAAACACACGTCTCGTTGTATTACTTTCACTGAAGTAATTATCATATTCACACACACACACACACACACACACACACACACACACACACACACACACACACACACACACAGAGAAAAAGAGGATTGGTATTTGTTTTTAAACCCC